AGTAATTATTTACAACTGGCTCACACCTTCCAGGAGGAAACTGGACTGATTACCTTTCAGCATCAAGCTCTTGCTCTCATTTCTGCTGTGAGATAAAAGGCCAGGCCTGAAAAGTGCCAGAACAGTCTTGTGAATAGGCCTGCCTGGATGACATCACTTGTCATGCCACTGGTATCCTAGCCAATTGGCTGTGTTTGTCTCATGAAGCCCTTATTGCTCCCCCCACTAACAATGAAATCTGTAGGGAGATATTAAATCAATGGGCAAGGGCTCACTCCCTTATTGTTGATGGTTATACAGCCACCTTCCACCTCCACACACTCCCCCCTATTACACATATATCCTTGCCACCTGCCCCCACCACACACACACATAGTAGCAGAAGCCAGACAAGCATAGTTGTAAGCAGATAGCCAGCATTTCCTAATACTGCTCCTTTAACAATGCTTCCAATACAAACTTCCTTTTAGGACTGTCAGCCCATCGATTTCCTTCAGCACTGTTGTGGGGGAAGCCTCACTGTTGCAAATCCTTCACCATTTTCATCTACTCCAGTGAAACTGTGCAGGGTGAGGTCTTTGTACTCCCATAGCATCTTCTATCCATCTCAAATGCATTAATACCAATTAATATTTATAACGCCTCTCCCAAGACAAGCAAGTATTACAAATTATTTAGATAAGAGAGCATGGGAGAGGGAGTCTGAAGCCATGTCTGCACAGGGGATTTACAGTTATTACTGTACCTAGGCTATGCTGTGATTGCTTTGTAGCAGTCTCTTAAGTTAATGGATCAAGATGAGGCATATAGCGACTTATTCCTTCCATTCTAGGGAGACACCTTTTTGCAATAGGCCTCTGTTGACTGAGACACCAAATACACAGCCTAGGCCCAAGTCCTGGTTTCACAAAAGCATTTGGGCATCTGAGAAGGAATCAGTTGGATCTGGGCCTAAGCAACTTGTTGCCAGGTCTTAAAATAAAAAATGTGACAGAACCAGGACAAGAACCAGCAAGACTGTCTTATCCCTCAAGCAGCACTTCCTTAAGAGGTATCTTTGTGATTAACATTCACCTTTTAAACAGCCTTTTAACAGTATACTGCGTAAAAACTCCACCTATCCCAATATCTAATAAGCCTTCTGCTCTTTGGGAATTCTACAGTAGCCACAGGCCATATTACCAATCCTGGGCACCTGTTTTATATCCTGTATTTGTGGGCATACACCTCTAGGTGCAATTTAGTTACCCAGACACCTAAATAGCCTATTTATGTACACATACAGGTTTCTGTACCTCACGTGACTATTGTATCAGAACATGTCTCCACCTTCAACTCCGACACCTAGGCATGTAAGTGACAGGCACTAAGGAAAAGCTCAGTCAAGGCCAAGTTAAAAAACAGACTCCAAGACCTGCCTTGTTCATATTAACTTCAAAATGAATAAATCTGTCTACAATGTCAACATCTGTATGCTAAAGCCAACACCATGCAAAATGAGCTTTGGTAACTCCAGAGAAAGATGCTCTGTTTTCTCCCAGAACAGCCCAGGCAGGAGTCGTACCACCTTTTTCAATGTTGTTGTGACAATGAACCTTCAGTGCAATCGAAAGGGAACTCACTCTCCATGCCCCAATCTGTGGCCTTTCTCTTGAGGTTTCTAACAACTCCAGCTATAGAAAGGGATTTTATATGGTGGTTATCTGCCCATTCTAAACCAACATGAACTAAGCCAGCCAGTTGCAACCTTCCATCTGCTCCTCCTGGAGAAAAAGACTTGCATATGTACCACCACTGCCTGCAGCAATCTTTTCCACCCTATGCAAGCCTCCAGGCAACATTTCTCCTTCATCCTTTATCCCCAGAAACCAGCCAAACAAGGAAAAATAGACTTGCCATGCTTGTCAGCTCCATTTTATATGAAACAAAGCCAGAGCTGTAGACATTCCCCTTTACCCAACACCCAAGAGGAGCAAGCTTTGAAAAATAATGTTTCAGGCCTCAGAAAAGAGTGCTGAGATAGAGTAGGCAGTGGGATGACTGAAAATTTGGCAACAAAGTCCACTTCCATTAAGCCTCTATCAAGCTCCTGTCTACAGACCTGCTACTTTCCTTGTGCTCTGCTTCTTGTAACTTGCCAATGTCATGAAGAGAATTCAGCACTCACCAGTTTTTGGTTTTGCTTGTTACAGCAAGATGAATCAATTACAAAATCAGTGCCTGTGGCTCCAAAAGAACACAAGGCCCTGTATAAAGGTCAAGAAAAGCCATACAAACAGCAGCATACCTGTCATCACTACTGCTGTCCTCTTGGAATCAGCTATTACAATAAAATGCAATATAATATGGAACACAGTGTGCAGTCTGGAGAGTTGAAATACTTCATGAAATAGGTCAATAGTCAGAGGGAAGGAGCTTGCCAACATTCAATAAGAGGCAGCTCCAGGCATGAGAAATGGCACGACAAGAGAGAGCAGATGAGAGTCAAAGGGAGCAATCAGGAAAGAAGACTGGGTAGAGGTCAGGGATGTTCAGCAAGAGATGAGGGTGGGTATGTAGGTGGGGGCAGAACAACACAGCAGAGCAATGAGAGAAGGAAGGCTGTCAACTCAGTGAAGGAAGAGTGAGAGCTGACGATAGGATTCAAAAAGAAAACAGAGCAGCAGACAGAATCCTGCCGCCTCCGAGCCAGTTCTTAGGTGATGGGCTTCAGCACTGTGTTATTCAATGGATGTTATTTTGGTGGAACTCTTCTGTTTTATGCCATCTGAGCCTCTGATTCAGTATCTTCAAGGGAAGCAGAATCAAATCATTCAAGAAGCAGATGGTGCAGTAAGACCTGTTCTCTTTGGTCTGCTGGAGCAGCACCGTGACCTCCTATACAGCTCAATTTTGATGCAACTTGGAAAAGAAATCAGTGAAAACTTTTTTTCTGCTTTCTAAGCCACAGAGGAAGAAAGCAAAACAAATGCCAAAGATTTCATACTTAAGAACTGCTGGGAATGTATGACTGCTTTCTTCTACCAATTCTCACAAAAGAATGGAAGATGATGTTATAAGAACAGCGAGGTTGGGACTTTCAAAGGATTTTGAGCTAGGTGCCAAGCATATCAACCAAATTCAGTGGGTTTTGGACTTCTAATTTTCCTTTTAAAAATCAGATTTGGGAGCAGAGAGGAAGCCAAGGAAACTGGCATAGCAATCAATAGATGCTCTTCTGTCATTAAATTTTCATAGGCAAAAAAGTCTGCTCTATTCAGAGCAATTACTAAATATTCTTGCTGTACCAGCATCTTGGTAATGGCCAAAGTCAGATTTCACTTAACTGGAAGAAGATCCTGTCTTGGATACAGAAGGAAGTTGTTTTATTACAAGTATGTCGATAACATTACTACGTCCTGCCATGCTACTAGAGGCACATAAAGTACATCAAAAGCAGGAAGATTTGGAATGCTCCAAAAAATTAACAAGCAAACAAAAAAAAAAACCCAGCCTTAAACTAAAGCTTGATCTTTAGTTTAATCTGTTGAGGTGATTGGATCTGATACAGGGCTGTTGCATCCAGCAGACAAAGGTATAACAAGCTCCAGCAGCTGAAGTTGAAGGTAGGCTGAAAATAATACAACTTGTAATGGTGAATGGAATTAGCCATTTGAACAACATACCTAGGTACATGGTGGTTTCTTTATCAACTGAAGACTGAGCATCTCAGCGATACGCTAATGGAATTCCTGGGTGAAATTTTTTTGCCATGAGTTAGGAGAGGCAGGGTAAAGATACACCTTATAGACAAACTAAATCAGAAATGCATAAGCTCTTGTTGGCCTCTGCTAATATCAGAGTACCTCCCTCTGCTCATGAGTTATCGGGTCAGATTATGCAATCACAATAGTTGCTTAAAATCTGTTCACCTATTTTCCCTTTATCACATGCATGGAACACTGACTGCAGATTGCGATTTAGAACAATAATCAGACACAAAGGTGAAAACAGATTCTTTCACAAGTTTTTATCAGGGGTTAGGGAATGGAAATGCACGTTTCCTCACAGCTTGCTATTCTGGCTGCAGTTCAAGGAACTTAATGGTTATGTTTACTTTGCTTAATGGAAAAACACCCCTTCTCTTCCCTAAATGTTGAGATTAATCATGATTTAGTGTTGCAAGTAGCTGGCTGAGTCAGCTGCATTTGAACAAGTTGATGTGCAGCACAGGGTATGAACGCTTATTTAATCAACTGGAAATATATTTAGTTTTATCCTTCTTATGCAGACAGCTTCTGTATACAACCAATATATGTTTTCTCATGTGCATTTTATGGTTGTAGGCCCTTGTTTTTAAGAAATCAAATCTAGAATTGCATGTGTTTTGATTCCAGGGAGGGAAGAGCTAAAGTAAAATGCGTAAGTCCTTAAACAAGAAAGAAACAACCTGAACGGAAGTAAAATGGACCAAAGAACTTTAAATAAAGTTACTCTTAACATTTACAACAAGTGATGTTGCCCCTCCTCCTTCGTTGATCCCTATTCACCCTTCCTGCAATGCCCCGATATCCTTACGTTTTAAGTAATATTCTATTGGGACAGATCCTTATGTCGTTTATTGACTTCAATGGAACTAGGACTATTTACATGGGCTGAAGAACTGTTCCAAATCCTTTATTTTACAAGTGTAAAACTGAATTGGGAGAGGTCAGAGAAATATAACTGACATGAAAAAGAAAGTCTTCCCCAACTGCAACTGAAATGTAGTCACTTCGCAATATTTGCTTTCTGATTTAGGAGAAGGAAAAGGTGGAAATACTGAAATATGGCTGACAAAAGCAATGCATTTCAGCACAAGAAGCTGATGATTCTACCAACAATTTGGTAAACACTATCCCAGTCGACCTCTGTTCATTTAACCCTGGACACAGATATTAGTTGATAAACTAACAGCAGCAGCAGAAACTTATCCACAGACTTCCCTGTAAAAAAGATATGGCATTAAGTGATTTGACAGACACGGTTTTGAGAGAGCTTTAATGGCACAAAATGTTTGTAGCTACAACTTATACATGTACTGTAAACTGTATATAATGTTACAAAGTGCTAACTAATTTGATGAAGAATGCATAATCACTTTGGCTCAGTTAACTCCATTAATTTCAACAAATGTGTCAATTAAAAAATTTGAATTTCTAACAGAGTCTTCAGTTTTCACTTTTAAAACAGCAAGTAAATATGTATTTGCTGCAGTTAAGTCAGACTGCTGCATTTTTAATGTGCGAGTTTATGCATTTTTGCTTGATCCTATTTACAAATATTTTAAGTCAGTTTTCACTAAACATAAGAAAAATGAAGCCTGCATTTTTTCCAAAACTGTAAACAGATATAAAGCTTTTTAAACAACATTTATCTTAACAAAACTTCAACTATCAATAGTTGAAACCCCTTTTCAAAGTGTACAACAGTCTGTTTCTGTCACTGTAAAACTAAGTAAATTGTAGACTTTCATCCAAAGCTTATATCAGGGTATCAATAAATACTGCATTGTATCATTATATGATAACAAGCACTACAGTGATCATGTATCCATTTCTCAGTAATATTTCCAATAAATATTTTTAATCTCACAGCTGCTTGAAGTAGTATTGTATGAACTGGGTTTATCCTTTAGTCACAAGCTTGTATTCTCTAAATGAAATCACCATCTATTTTGGAAAGGGGAATATTTTTTAGTTTTTTTTTTTAAATAAGTATTTCCTACTTAGTATAAATCTATTTTTCCACTCTTCCAATTTTCATACAAAACACAGTGCTATAATTCATACAGATAAAAGCATGCCAGAATTTTTGCCCCCATCCATTTTAGTTAGGTCTCTAAAATGACATGGTTAATACCATCTGAAAACACTCATTACTTCCCCACACCTCTGGATGAAAGCTAATGCCTGAAACAAATTTGCAGTTGTAGGCAGTTCAAGTGCTAATATTTGTGATTAAAAAGCAGATGTCTAAACAGAATAGTTAAATTGCCCTTCCACCCTATACCTAGCTTAAACCCTGGACACATTCCTCCAAAGGCAGTCAGGAGCAGAGAATAAAAATAAATACAGTTTAGAAATGGATTTCATACTGAACTTCTCTAATTCAGCTCTTTTAAAACAAACCTCAGTTAGGAATTAGCCTCTGTGCTTCAAGTGTTTCAAGTGATCACTGCCATACCAAATAATCAATGCTGTAAAGTCTCAAAATCTGAAGCAAGCAAAAAATTACAGGGAGCCATTTTTTTTCAAATTGGCCAACCAAGTTTTCTGAACATTTTCTACAAGGCAGCCTAATGAATTCTCTATTTAAATGAGCTTTTGCTAATTTTAAAATTAACATTGGTTCCCTAAATACTTAGTATTAAAGTCTATATCATATTTTATATATATATATATATATTATATATAAAACAGAGTATTCTATCCTTCAGAGCCATGCTACATGTCCTGAAATCCAATAAAATCTACTTAAGGACAGGTATGTCCTAATGCTTTGTAACAATTTGGTACTAAAGCTTCACATTTTGAAAAAAGTGTCACTGAAGGAGGACAAGGCTGAGTGTTTCCAAAGATAAAAGTTGAACATTTATGAGAATTCTGTTTAGCTATATGAGATATTGTTAGTGACCTTAGGATATCGGATACCCCCACGGGAGATTACACAGTAAACAATGAGGAATGGAAACATTGAAAACTCAATTGTAGAAGCCAATGTTTCAGAGCTTTGCAACTCATGTTCCTTTACGAAATTGCAAGATCATCCCCAACAGGCAGGTCAAATGCTTTGAATAGTTACCAAAACTTCTTCATCTTCATATTTCTAAGTGGTTCCATAACAAGCAGAATCTCTTTTTTACATGGAGTCTAAATACACCTAGAATATTTGTATTCAAAATGACTTTTTAAAGGAAAACTTTCCATTTAAAATTTTCCCTTAAGGAAAAAGGTAAGGAAAAGAAAAGCTTCTCCACATGCACACAATGCAATTTTTTAAAAAACATTTTCTAGGCATCAGACAAGTTTTCCTACCAGAAATAAGGAGCCTACTTCATAGAAAAGACAAGATTACAACAAGTATCTAGTATTGTCTAGTACTAAAGTATGCTGACGAATGTTAGTTATTATCCTGCTTTTGGTTTTGTGCAGTCTTTGCCTCCGGCAAATTAAAAAGGCATTAATCAAGACAGGGGATTGAATCAATTGCCTAAAAAGCTGGTTTAAAATATATTTTTATTGCCAATAATTCCTTCGCTTCAAAATCAACTTAGTTTTCAAAAAATAAATTCCTCACCTCACTATCTAATCTTCAGTTTCTTTTGAAGAGACTGGCAATGTCACCATTATAATACAGTCAACATCTATACCATGCACAATTGCAGATTTCTGTTTGGTGATACGAAAGGAGGCAAACAGCATCACTGATAAATTGAGAATTTGCTGGTGGCATTTTGCATTGAAAAAAGCCCTTGCAATGTATAGACAGTTGTAAACTCTGTTTGGCAACTCTGATGCATCTTGTAGGCCTAGAGGTGGGGGAAGGGGGAGAAGGTGAATAGCAAACACCTCAACAGAGTTCCAATACAATACTGAATTCCAAGAGTTAGTGGAACCTGGATATGTAAAGAAAGGGTGGAGTTAGGGTCATGCTTAAAATGATCTCAAGTTCAAATGTACTAAATGTGACAGTAACACCTTCACAGGTCACATGGATTTCCAGCTTTTGCACTCTGTCTCTCAATAAGTACTGGCTGAAGGCGTAGTCAGTCGTTTTCCAATGTAGATGCTGAAATAAAAACATAAGGCCTATTTGTATTTCAAATATACTTCCCATTACACAACAGTCTTTGCACAGCCAACTGTCCTATTCTGCCCTTGGAAACAAAAGTTCCCATTTTGTGAGATTCTTCCACAGCACTTCATGTGTGATATGTAAAAGGACTGCAACAGAAACCCCAAATGAAGGGAGAGTTTTTTAAAGGAGTCTGAGGGATACAAAGACCCTAATCCCATCAAAATTCAGGAGGAGATGAGAGCCTAACAGCATCAGACTCATTTGAAAATCCCAGACAAGAAGTTCTGTTTGTTCTGTGTTTATATAGTACTGAGCACCAGGGGTTCCTGGTCTTAAACTAAAGCTACGAACCACAACAATAATACAAACAACGCTGAAGTACTGACTTCTTCAGGCAAAGCAGGAAAAGCAAAACAAGCTTTAAAACACTTAAGTTTGGGGCCTACAACAACAAACCAGTCTAACAAACGAACAATCTTTAATGCATTTTTGCAACAAGACAAATATTTTCTCTTTATGTTTTCTATTTGGCTAGTTTTGCCAAAAAGCAGAAATAAAGGAAAAAAACAAACAAACAACCCTCCCCACCTCCACCAAACAAGGCAGTTGACAAGAATAATTGAAGTAAATTGCTCAGGCTGCATACAAGAAAAAAGGGAGCACAATTCTCTGCCTTCCCCCACCCCCACAAAAGGTATAAGATAGCCACAAATATAAGATGCCCAGGATTCACATCCGATTATGAATACCTTGACAGCGCTGCTAGGCGCTTTGAAAAAGACAATTGCTGATTCTGCGAGGTAGGCAAAGTGCTGCATGCATCTTTCCATCTGAAGTTTGCAAACCTTTAGTTTCAGCACCAACATACAATAACACTGCTAGCCACTCAAAATGAGCGGAAGCCTGAAATAAAATGTGCTGTATATATGAGAACTGAGCACTGTCCAATGATGTAAAAACAGAGCTCTTGAATCAAACAGTTATACTCACTTTTCTGTGTAGTTTCTTTTTCTTTTAATTACACTATGCTCTAATAATTCCAAATAGAATGAGTGGAAGAACAAGTGGTGCATGCCATAGGACCTCGCAAAGATTATTTTCAATAAAGTATCAGAGGTAACCTAGGCCTCTGACCTTGCAAAGATCTTTGTGCATTCTGAAAATATAACTACTCAATCTCTAAATTCTCTCCTGAGAAAATACAGACAGTTTTGTTGCGTGCTGTTAAGACTGTTTTGCCTCCATTTTAATATAGTACCAGAATTAAACTTTGAGCATCATGATAATCTAAGTATTCTTATTATGCTCTTCCTCTAACAGGTACTAGAAATGCTACTACAGAAGCATATAGACAAAAAGACGGATGCAAAATTAAGAACTACTGTGAGCACTTACCCTAGGCCCAAAGCCAAAACATGAGATATGAACAGAGATGGAATGAAAACCTTAAGAAACTCTGCAGAGAAAATGCCACCTTTCTTCATAGCTCCACTCTTCCTCATACTTAAAGATACTGAGCGTTTAGGATGCCTGAAGTGAAATTCCCTAAAGGAAAATAAATAAATAAATAAAATTTAAAAATCAACAAGAATTTTTCAGAAGTCCAAAGAAGTTTCTATTGAAACTTTTCAAGCAGTTAAATTGTAAGGGATGAACAAGAAAAAGTGTGAGATATTATAAAGAGATCACTCACTCAAGGAGCACAGACACAAAGGGAGCAGTAGCTGAAGAGAGAGGCAGGCATGAGAGAGGGAATTTCAGGATAGGACTTGTTAGTAACAGCCTCAGGTTTTCTGTGTTTCAGTAGAGAAACAGAAATCCACCAGATACAGACAGCACTTCTACTTCAGGCAAAACACCTGGCATTTAAGGATCCCATGGTTTCTTGTTTGGTGTTTTATACATATTTTACTTATACCAAAGCCAAGGTGGAGAGAGTTTAGGTGACTTTCCCAACCACACCAGTCAGTAAGTCATGGACAAACCACACAAATATCAGGTCCAAGTACCCAGCTCTCCCAAGTAAAGTAGCAACTGGAAAGAAATAACTGCATATTAAAACTTCATGTGGACGGAGATTGGTTTTAATAAAGTTAAATTCTATGCTATTAAGGTTTTACACTGTTCACTTGTTTTATAAATTTTATGCTCCTCAGGGAACACCCAAGTCTGACGTAGATAGCCAAAACATTTCCACATAACGTGTGAATCATGATTCTTCTTTCCTTCTCGCAGAAGGAGATTTATTAAAGAAAGAGTTAAATTCTATGCTATTAAGGTTTTACACTGTTCACTTGTTTTATAAATTTTATGCTCCCCAGGGAACACCCAAGTCTGACGTAGATAGCCAAAACATTTCCACGTAACGTGTGAATCATGATTCTTCTTTCCTTCTCGCAGAAGGAGATTTATTAAAGAAAGAGTTCGACTCACTTGGGAGGAATGTTTTCAGGCCTACTCGACCAGTCTGATACCCAGTCAGCACTTTTCTTCAAAACTTCCACCTCTTTCTCTCCTTCTACTGCTTCCTCTTCAGACTGAAAATATACATGGGACATGCCTTGTAACAACACTCAATCAGCTGTTCCTTGTGGTATTAGTTTAAGAGCATTAACTGCAGTGATGAAATGCTAAGCAGCAGAGGTTGGCAGTTTTGCAACTACTGGGGTGTTTGCGCACAGGTCAGGATGGGGGACAGAAAGATGACGACTGAACAGACATTTTTGCATCAAGGAGATGTTTACAAGGGATTTTACTATGCCAACAGAGTCTGCTGAGACCAGTGCATCTCTAACGATGTTGTTTTTATCAAGCACATAAGCCAGTTATGTTTTAACAATATATAAACAGGTATTTCACACTGAAGAATGAGCCAGAGAATGATCTCACTGTGAGTTTGACTAAACCAGTCTTGAACAAAATGTTTTAGACAAAAAATATCCGTAAAATTACAACAAACATTAATTTAGATGTAATGCAATTAAAATGCGGTATTTCTGCCCAAATTGCAGAAAAAATATGTGAAAGAGTAATTCCTTTAAGATGAATTCTACTGTCAAATAAGGATCTTTAAGCTACTGTAAATTAACACAGAAATCCTACCATATGGAAAAGCCAGCTAAGATACAGCCTACAGGTTGCTATTCCTTTGGCTGGCAGGAAGCAAGATCATTATACACAGGGCACCTATTTGTATGGCCGAAGGAACTGCTTTTGTGGATACGCCACTCTCTCCTCCAAGCTCAGTGGGAACCTCAACCCAAATTTGGCCTTTAGCAAAGTGAGATCACTTTACCTGGAGGTCAGCTATATTAGCTGGAAAAAAGGGATACAAAATTACAATAGGGAAAGGGCAGTCCTAAATGGAGGAATCAAAAGCAAAGAACCTCATTTAGGTCGGTATGATTCTCTATAGGCCTGCAAGAGGCAGCAGTCCAATAGTTTGGCCACCCTCTCTGACAAAATGAAATGCACAGCCTCATTCCAGCAGCACAGCTGTCAACTTGTACTGCTGAAGACAGCAAATTCCATTAAATGACCAAACTTAGACTTCAGCATTTATTTCCTTCCATTTGATATCACTGAGGTTACTGAAACTCACGTGAGCACAGTGACACAGTGATAACCCAAGCCTGCTGAAATCTTAGGTAAAAATGAAAGAACTTCAGGAACAAACTGGTCTGTCCCACACCTGTTCAACACATTTGTTATTAAAAACCAAAACAAAAAAAAAAAAGGATGTGAGCTCCAATAACCTGCCTGCAAAATCTGTAACAGGATCTTGATAACTGTATCTACTCTACAGAGATAAGATTATAAAATTCATTTTCTGATTCAGGTTTTAAGTGCTCAAAACTTTAATATTTCTTTCCCCCTTAAAGCTAGTGAGCACATTACTTTCCTTCTTTAATTGTTTTTTTCTTAAAACACCACATTCCAGCAGAAACATTTTACTCAACAAAAACAAACAAACCTTATAACAGACTATCTTAAGTATGTAGAAGCTTTACCGATTCACAGAACTCGTTGACACAGTAATCGACCAGAGGATCATTTCCCTCCCATACCTATAGCCAAACTATAGGGAAACAGTGATTATCCAAATGAGCTAAAGGACATTTCTAAGTGTTTTAGATATTTGGAGTTTACTAGTAGTCAAGCTAAAATTCAAGAATATTGTTGTACCCTCCTACTGAATTAATACATCACTGGAAGCCAATTTTAAAGTCTCTAAATTATTCTCTTTCACTTAAGAGAGCAGCTTTCCAGCAATCCTTGATAATTTCTGCTCATCTACACAGGGAACTGTCTACTATAATAAGCAGTTCTGTGACTTCAACTTTGCATTTTAGAAATTACAGGACAAAGTACCTGAGAACTACTGTCCTTACTCGTGTGCATTTCCACATCAAACGTGATCTGGCCATCTTCTTGAGGTGAAGGACTAGAGATAAAAGTGAGGGTATTACTGTCATTTTTGCTATATGACTGGATTAAGTTACGCACACATTAGCATTTAAAAGCTTGTCTAACTTTATCCCCACCGAGCAGTTGGTTCAACAAAAAATATCACCCCCCAAAATCCTTGCCAGAAACATTAGTGCAAGAGCAAAATAATTAAGTTATTATTCTGTACAATACAAATAGCCTATTCTAATGAAAAAACAAGTATTGGTTTCTTATTCTTCATACATTATGCCAGAAGCAAAAATCCTTTCATGCCCAAAGACTTCCCACATTTCCAATTTATTCCTATTTCAGTTTTATCCCCTCCCTGTCCCCCAGACTACCCTTCCAGAAATCAGAAAGGATGAGAAGCTTCTCTTCAACATCAACAACAAGCACATTGCCTCCTCCAAAAACCTGCCCTCCAAACAAAAGGCAAAGATGTTTTTGACGAGGTAATACCTTGCTGCTGCTGACAAAAAAACAGATTTCCAGGTCCTGGGGAACTTAGGTTTTCTGAAATTCAGTTTCTTTCCAAACAGGACTCAAACCAAAACAATTTCAGAATTTTCCCAAAACCAAAAGAGCTCTGGGACCCTGACACTACTCTGTGAAGCCAGAAGTGCCCAGTTGTAGGACAGCCCAGACAAACAGGAACTGTGGACCTGGACATGCAGTTCCTTGGGCCAGGGACATTCTGCAAGGAACATATTCAGATGAAGTTTGTCAAGTACATGAACATAATGGAGGAATCTACCATGAATATTTAATAGAACTGATTTATTACAATTTTAGTGAATAGTACCTTCAGGCATAGGATCCATATTCTTGCCTTTTAGTTTCTCTTAAATCATCATGCGCTGGTAATCCCCATGTCATTAACAGAGCTTTTTTTTCCTTTAAATAATACATGAATTATGCCAATATGAAATTTGATACTGATGCAATCCCTTCTACTCCAAGGGTTTTTTTTATTTTAATGAGAATAAATGACATTTTTCAAACAATATTAGTTCTATGCAGGATTCATCAAAGCACTTCAAATGGACATTTTGGCTGGCTCATGAAGTTTAAACTGATAGCATGTCATAAGCCTTTACATAAAGTATCAGAAATGGAATTTGTACTAATGGCATCAAGGAAAGGGAGCACTGAGCTATATTTCCTTACCTGTCACAGTGGGAACTGCCCCTTGAACTACTTTGTCCCGATTCATGCTGGGCATCCAGAAGAATTTTTTCCATGTCTCCATTATGGATAGAAGAGGATGAAGGAACATGTTCTAGACCCCCATTTTTTCCATTTGTATTGTCATTGCCGTTGCCGTTGCCATTCATCTGCAACTCTACCCAGGAACCTGTTGGGTCAGCCAAATAGCTATCGTTAGAAGCAGTGAAACTAAAACCCATCTTAAGGGTTTATCATTTGCATGCAGAAAAATGTGAATATGGTCAATTCAGATAATATCCACTGCTGCTGCCATAAGAACCTCATAAACAAAGAGATGACAAGGATTGGAGGGTTATTTCTTTAGTTAACAGCAGAATTAAGGCAAGGACAACAATTTCCTTTAGTTTAGCTAACTGCAGAATTAAAAATAAAGAACTAAATAGGCTTGATTTGGATAAACAGGAAGTAACAGAACCACTGCCCTTTCTCTCTCCTATTTTTTAGAATTCCTCTGGCCTCCCTCTTCCTTCTGCAGGTTTAAGCTCCAAGCTACATAAAAAAAACAAAACTGCACAAATCTTGCCTTCCTACACTGATCTGCTCTGTTCTCCAGTGCCGTTTGGTACCCTACACACATTTTTAAAACGCAATACATACCTACTGTGCCACACAATTCATGTTATAACACTGGAATGGAAATAATGCTTAAGTGTTAACAATGCTATTCTTGTGTGCGACAATTCAGATTCTCAGTTTCAATTACACAAGGGGACACAGTGTTACCTCAATATTTAACTTAGAATTTTCTAACTGGAATAGCACTAATAATAATCATTCCTAATAGATAACTATTTTCTTGTAACTGGAAAGTGAAACTGATTTTTGCAGGGAAGATTCTATTCTAAACTATATTTATGCTACATCAACTGTAATTATTTATGTTATTTTCCCTTCATTTTAAATAATAATAATATGCAACAACAGTTGACAGAGGAGCTATGGGTGCCATATTAGCATTGAAAGCACAGGCTGTAAACAACTATTAAAGAGATCAAAGAACAGACCATATTAAACTTATGCAAATTAACTCATTGGAAGACCTTTTTCCCCCCTTAACCAGTGTATGGAGCAGTAATGGGTTTCAGTTATTTTGAAACTAATCCTAAATTAATAAATTGGGTAGCTCATGTTGAGCGATAAATGTAGTAACACGTTGGCCCTGCTGCACAGGCTAGAATACTTGGTGTCATCCATCCAGCTACAATCATGGGGGTTTCTGTTTACTAACTGAATCAGTATCGATTGAGAATACGATAGCCAATTTAGTTCTTCACTGGAATATTTTGAATTTTTTGAGACCGTTAATATAAATTTGAAAGACATATTTTGGGTTTGGGTTTTTTCTTTTTAAAATCTTGTTAACTAATGTAAATTTGAGGGCTTTTTTGTTTCTCTGAGCCCCATATATGCACTTCATATCTTTTTTATCAGTCTTATTGCAGAATATTTTCAAATTTAGAAACTCATTACATCACATTTAGTCTGAAGATACTGAGATACTATAAGCTAGCATCTTGTGAAAATTACTGGTTCTTAAATCTGGTTTTGTCAGTGTGCTTCCCATCAAAATATCAGTATAACCCTGTAAGAAAAAAAACTTCTGTATTTGCTATAGTAGATCTTAAACACATCATATGAATGTCTGGGCTACAAAACTAGATTATTAACGAAAAAGGGAAAATGAACACAGTTGGTGTCATACACCTTAAGTTATTTATTCACCTCAGAAAATTCTGCCCTATATATAACCTAGAAATCATTATATAATAAGCTGCTTTTTTAGCTTAATATAATATTCTCATACAAATGTTTGCTGGCACAGGAGAAAGCAAACAAATTAAAGAACACTATCAGTAAAAGCAACACACTTACGATACCTTAAAACATAGGCAAGCAAAATACGGCCCGTGGGCCATATCCGGCCTGCCAGACGATTCTATGAAGGCTGCAGGGCACCTAAAAAATTTAGAAAATTAATATTTATCTGCCCCAGCAGCCTGTCAAAGATGACAGGAGCTAGGGACAGTAGGACCCAGGGGAAGCCTGAGCAGGACTGAACAGCCATGCCCCGCACACCCCCAGGCATTTCACTCCCTTCCTGCCCCCGCCTGGCTCCAGCACCATGCGTCTCCTGGGTGCATCGGCCGAACGGGGAGCACCGCACCGTTATGGGTGTGCGCACACTGGGATAGTGTGCAAATGTGCATGGGGGGCAGGTGGACTGTGTGCAGGCAGGGGCAGAGGGGTGTGTGTGTGTGTGTGTTCATAGGCTGAATCCTACACACACACCCCGCCATACACATGTACCCACACCCCTTTGCACTGCCATGCACACAGACCCCCTTCATCCCCAGGCACCCCGCCCCACACAAACGCCATACCCACCCACATCCCACATATCCACACACACACCCACATGCTCTCTCACCCCACATACTCACAGCCTCCCACAAACCTAAACCCACCCCACACAACATATAAGAGTAAGACTTCATTTTAAGCTATTGTGCAATCACCTCTATATACACTACACAAACACAGGTAAATCAAGACAAAAACAGTTTTTTAAATCAAATTAATGAATACTGGCATCCGGGGTTCCCAAAGCTTTTATGCCACAGCCTGGCAAACTGTGGCCCAGCAGTCACAGCGGACCACAGCCAGAGTTTCCAGCTAGAAGACAGGTAAGGATACCCTCATTCCCCAGGTGGGCAGGGGTGGGCCAAACGCTGCATTGTCGCAGGCCCTGCAGAAGGAGCCGCAGCTTCTCTGCCTGGTTCTGGGGGGGACCACAGTTTGCCAGTCCGCAGCCACCAGCAGCCAACCGTGCTGCAGACTGTCCCAGGGATTGAGAACCTCTGATGTAGATGTTTGCGTTTTAGAATATAATTTGGTATTTTTCTGGTTCCGAGATGGCAAAACCCCTTGCTGAAGGGAGTACTTCCAGGGGCAAAGGGGAAGGACTTCTGGCGGCAAAGGTCAGGGGTTAAGGGGGGATTTATGGTCACAAGATGGCATTGTTAACATCAATGTTACCACTGGTTCCCTATTTTTGTGTTCTTCACAACAACTGCAGCAGGAAAAATAAGCAAGAAATGGGGATTAGAGTATGTAAAGAACTGACAGGGATAGAACCTAAAACTATTTGCAATTCCAATCCAACTAGATTTGTATGCCAACAAATTACTGGCTTCTAATACATGCATTAACATACCACATATGTTAATATATGTGTATATGTCTGTGTGACAGAATATGCAATTTAAGGCAAATTCAAGTCTGGTCCCCAAAATAACATCACCAGTAACATTATAGGAATGTCTATGTAGGTCAACAATATGCAACTTAATTGAAGTGAACAATTTAGTCCACCCTCACTATCAATTATTCACCATACTTGGCATGCTTGCTATTGTGTCCGTGCCCGTACAGGTGTTAGACTCAATCACATGAGCTGCATGGTCATGGGTAGCATCAGCAAGTGACTAACTGTGGATGAATGTGCACTGCTTTTATGCAAATACTTGGGTATTCTAGAAAGTCAAACCACAGCCCAGGAAGTCTTCTCTTGACTCTGCAGGCATTGCCCCGTACCAGCTATGCAACTTTCATACCACGGCAAGCTCATCACTAAATTGTATTACCATAAGTGTCTCCACGTCTGGGTGCTGTCACTGCATTGCTTATACCCATGAACATGATGTTTTATTTGGTGCCAGAAGTTTTTGCAAAGCAACAAATGAGCAACTACCAGAGCTTCTGCTGCCACCAAATGCCACCAGCAGCATGCTCTGCCAGATGACACAGTGCGCATGCACCAGCTGAACAGCAGGGTATCCAGCTTCTTGCAAGAAAGAGCATTAGCTGTGAAAAGGCAGTTTAAGGCTAGGGGAGGGTCACTGTCTTTCAAATCTGGAATGACTGGCAGAGACTGCAGAATTGAAGTGAAGACTAACTCATTTTAAAGAATGAGCCAGACCTGCCCTGCAGCAACTGTCTTCTAAGACAAAGGTATCCATATACAAAAACTTGTGTCAACTGCGATTTGGAAGTCAGAGTGGTTATCAACTATTCTATAGCTATTTTGGACTGGAAAAGCCTTACCGTGTAATATATAATGATCTGTGAGGAATCCCTCAACTCTCATCTAGCATTAAAGAGCACAGAAGTGCAGTAAACAATGCAAGAAAAAGGAGAGGCAGAGATGCACAGTAAATATAAACAAGGAAGGCTATTTCCTTTAAGGAAGATTGGAGACTAAGGTTTTGGTAAATAACCAGAAAGGTAACTGGTGAAATGAAGTCTGGGACTGCAGTTAAGATTGTACAGAACTGCCTCCTATACCATGACTGGAATGCAATTTGCTACAGCATGAGCTACAAAACACAAGTTTTACTGCAGTCCACATTCAATTGAGAGAATTTTTGATCAGACACAAGTTGCACTATAGTCATGTTTGAGGGAACAATAATATTAGCAAATAATTAAAAATTCCCATTAAGACCTGCTAGACTTTGCGTGACAAGCGCTACAGCACGTTCTCATTCTCTGTCTGCTCAGTCACCTTAGCTGAGTCAAAGTATGTTTAGTCAGTACCTAGTCATTCTGCTAGCAAACATAAATACTGCCTCACATGCCCAGTACAGTGATCAAGCAGCAGTCACAAGCTGATTTTGTGAGAGAACCTGGTGATCCTTTTCCTTCCATTGGTCATGTGTTATAAACCTCCTGGCTGAGACGAGATAGATATAGTGCTGAAAGTGATGCCCAGAAGTAACTGCTGAGAAGAAAACCTATTCCCTCTTTCTCTACTCAAAGACCCATACATATGACCTCTCAACTACTGGCTCTGGCAGCAACAGGGACAAGATCTGCTAAGAAAAATATTCTGGCAAGTGATGAACCAAGTTAAGAAAGAACACTCCTCATCTTCAAATCAGCTTCCTAAAGCTGGAATACTGTGTCCAGTTCTGGGCGCCCCACTTCAAGAGGGATGTGGACAACATTGAGAGGGTCCAGAGGAGGGCCACCTGCATGATCCGGGGACAGCAGGGCAGACCCTACAATGAGAGGCTACGGGACCTGAACCTGTTCAGCCTTCACAAGAGAAGGTTGAGGGGGGACCTTGTGACCGTCTATAAACTCACTAGGGGGGAACAG